GTCTATTGGCTGTCAGCACCACAGCACTGCACACACACACCCCCGCCCCCCCCACAACCTCACACACACACACACACACACACCCAACCTCCTCACCCGTCCACCCCCACCTCCCACCTCCAAGCAGCAGTCAATTGCAGTGGAGGCATTCATTTTTATAGCGACCCAGTGACTGGGTGACACACACACACTAACCCTGGAGAGTGTGTGTGTGTGTGTGTGTGTGTGTGTGTGTGTCTCATTATGAGCTGAACATCTTTGTTATTCCTCCCCCTGCTGGCCATGGAGACATATTGTTGCCAAGTAATCATTTGGTCCGTTCTTCCTCCCTGGTCTACAGCTGATTGGACAATATGGACCACAATATGGACCACAATGTGGTCCACAATGTGGTCCACAATGTGGTCCACAATGTGGTCCACAATATGGTCCACTTAGACCTTTGTACTGGTCCCCAGGATTGGTTCACCTCCATGAAACCATCCAGATTACGAAACCAGCGCCGTGGGCTCGGACTGTGGGTTTGTGAGTCAGAGGTCGGGTTATATCTGACCTTGAATATTGTATTTCAACTTTTTGATTAAATCGGGGCGGGTGTGTGTGTGTGTGTGTGTGTGTGTGTGTGGAGGCCGTGGGTCTACAGTGGGGAGAAATTGATTGGCTCTGGACTAAAAGGTGCTCGGTATCAGATCATCTTTCAGAAAATCGACAATGGAGGAAACTGAGCGGCCCTCGCTGCAGGAATGGAACTTTGTTGTCCATTTTCCTCTAAATGGGATCATAAGAAACTTAGCTGACACCACGTTTGTGAACGTACACATCACAGAACAACAATATTATCACGGGATTTATTTCAAAACCCAGAGAAATCCCAAAACTTTCCTGAACCATCGCTGTGGCCAAAACAAAAAAAAAACTTTCCTTTATTTCAGTCAAACTAACTTCCTGATCAAAATGATTTATATTCCAGTAAAGTGAGAGTGGAGAAAGTTGGTATTTAACAGCACAGACTTCATTGTTATTCGAGTTGTTGATCTTTTCAAACCACAAACCAACAGTTAGGCTGTAATTATTTGACACTTATCCCAATAACCTTTTGGCAAAGTCGTTGAGTTTCCTGTAATTATTCATCATATTGTTCTGATGGAAATAAAAGGTTTGTTCTGTTCTGTACCAGGAAAGTTTGACACAGATAAGACTTAAAAATAATAAATAAATAAAAATACTGGTAAATAAATAAACCACTGCAGTGTTTGTTTGTTTTCATCTTTTTACCTTTATATCTCTCCAGGACGTCCTCGTAAGCCTTGGCGAACTCCTTTTCCTGGGAATGGTTGGTCGGCAGCAGCCCCGGTATGAACCCGGCCATGGTGCCTCCGCAGCCGGCCTGAGTTTAGTAAAGGGCTCGCCCTGGCCGCGGGACCTCCGCAATGACTCCGGCCGCCGATAAAAGCTTGCTGCTTCCCCGGCTTCGAGCTATGTCTCCGGTCGTTGTCCGAGTCCAAATCCAAATCCAAAGCAGCCAGAATCAAACTGCTGAGATGCGATGCATTTTCCGTAACTCACGTCCAACGGCGGGTTTGATAATCCTTCAGGGTTCGGTGGAGTGAATAATTCTGACCAAATAAAAAATAAATAGTCTAAGACGCTGATATATCTCGCTATCTGTCCATGGTCGCGGTCTGTGTTTCCTGTGAATGTGCGGGGACACGGAGTCGCATCGCCGCCGCTTCCACCCGGCGACTCCTGCTGCTAGCATCGCCGCCGCTGTCGTCCGCTTCCACCCGGCGACTCCTGCTGCTGCTGTGGCTCCTGTTTGAGTGGAGTGAGTGACGGGAGACGGACACGGAGAAATGTCCTTAACACTCAACAAAAAAAGGATGTTATTATGTCCGTTTCCGTTCCCAAGTCAGCGGGTCTCCTTATAAAATGGTATACGGACTGTGTGCTTCTTAGCCCGGGTTGCTTCGCTGCCCCGGCTCCTGTGTTTCCTCCAGCGTGTTTCCCAGCTGTAATGGCCGCTTGACTGTGACGCTGTGCGGTCTATCCGTGTGTGTGTGTGTCAGTGTCAGTGTCTGTGTGTGTGTCAGAGTCTTTTCTCTCTTTTTTCTTGCTCAGGTTCGTCGGTGCTGCCTCCTCCAGCACCCGCTGTCTTCCATCCCTCTCTACCGGCGGCTCCAGGAAGCTCTGCCACAGGAATGTATTTACCGCGGCTGTGGGCGAGGACCCAGAAACTGGAGTTCGAGCTCCCCCTGATGGTCGAGGAGTGTCAGTGACAACAGAGTCACGGTGACCACGGCAAACATTTACACAGGTGTGAAAATTATTTCCTGGGAAACAGGGGGCGCTATTTTTGTACTGACGCAATGCAGCACGGTCTATTAGATCAATGTTACTGAAGAAGCCGGGACAGGAAGTGGAAAAAGATTGAATTAATCAGTCAAAAAAAAATATAAAAAATAAATAAAAAACACTTTTTATATATTATAAAATATATATTTTATATATTATCAGTTAAATTTCATTGTATGAATTGTTTACGTGTTTACACTAAAAACATAATGATACAATTGTGATAATACGGAACCAAATTATAATGCTAAGATGCTAATATGCTAATATTTTTAATATATTTTACTTTTTATTTTAATTTTAGTATTATTATGAGTATTTATATATGTATTACCAATATCAGTATAAACATTATTATTATTTTATTATTATTATTATTATTATTATTATTATTATTATTATTATTATTATTAACAGTGACACAACATGAAGATCGACCCCTGTGACTTTTCAGAAGAGGTCAAACACCAGATGAAAAACATCGTAAAACATCGTTTTCCACAGACCATCAACCGTTAAAATCAATTTCAGAGAACAAAAGTTCATAAAACGTTTGATCTTCCTGACTGAACGGCCACTCCAGAAATCAGAGAAAAAAATTAAACAGAGGAGAAGAAGAAACGCTGGTCTACAGCAGTGTGTCAACAAACCCTGGGTCATAAACCAGAGCGTGTGGACGCTGGCGGTGCAGAGTGGAAGGAGACGCTGACGACAACAACAACAACAACAACAACGTGTGTTCTCTAGGCTGTTGTTGAGACACTAGAATTAAAAAAACACATGTACAAAAATAAATCTGAACTGTGCCTTTAAACTGTTCCCTCAGTCTGTGTGGCAGCATCTGTTTCAGACACACGAACAGAAACAGAACCGACGTCTCAGCAGCAGGAAGTCACAGAACAGACAGGAATATTTTCAGTCCTGTTTTGTTGTGAAACTAAAAACAGCTGAACAGAAATCAAAGGATTTAAACTGAGACTGAACTGGAGGATGAGGACGAGACGAGGACGTCTGTGCGTGACCTAAAAACACAATGACATCTGTGCGTGACCTAAAAACACAGAGGAGCAGGAGGAAGAGGAGTAGGAGGAGGAAGAGGAGGAGGTTGAATCAGGAGCAGATCTCCAACCGTCGTCTGACTTTCACCTCCTCAGTTACAGACTTTCTTTTTCTCCCCCTCCTTCTCCCTCTCTTTGGTCTCCTCTTCATTAGCCTTCAAACCGACTCAATCATTCACTCCTTCCTCTCGTTCTTCCTCCCCCGACAGACTCACTCGTCTTTTCTCTCTCCCTAAATTAAAATTCTCACCCACCGTCTCTCTCTCTCTCTCTCTCTCTGTGTGTATTTGTCCCCCCCCACCCCTCCCCTTCTCCTTTACAGCGGCAGCCATTGTTTCTTGCCAGATTTTCATAACCATGGTAACGGAGGTCACGTTGCCGTGGTAACAGGGGTCTGAGCCCAGTTACTTCACACAGATAGGTGTCCCTTCAGCTGCCGGTGCAAAAATAAATGACCAAGAAGGAGGAACAGGCAGGAAGGCGGACGCCTCAGTTACATGCAGGCACATTTGTGTCGGGTCCTGATGTTAGCAGGCGGCACACACACACACACACACTCGCTGGTGTTGGTGTTTTGTCAGAATCATAATCCCATCCTACCCCCCAATATATATATATACAAATATATATAAGGTTAATCTTAATCCTAATCTGACCCTGAGTCTAATCCCAGGACACAGAGACACAGAGACAACAGTAGAATTTACATCAAAGATGTTTCCAGAAGTGCAGCTTCCTTCAGATTAAAATCCTCATTTTAATCTCAATTTAATCCAAATCTCAACCTTTACTTCAAACCTAAGCCGTGGAAACTTGTTCCTCAGAACTGGTCTTTGTTTTTAAAAAATCCATACAAATAGCAGAAATGTTCCAGAATAATTGGTTAACAAAGGACACACACACACACACACACACTCCCTGTGTGTCACCGTTGTTCAGTTCAACAGTTTAAAAAGGTCATAAAACTTCAGTCACGTCCTTCAGAACACACAGATATCTGTGGGTTTTACTGCAGTATTTGGAGTATTTTCAACAGAACAACTTCAGTTGAAGACACGATAATAAAGATCCACTGAGACGAAGACACCGTTTTTTTTCCTAAACACTCTCACTCTCTCAACAACTTCAACGTCTCATTCCTTTAAAATCAACAAAGCAGTAAAAAAAAATCCAGGAGTGAAATAACAGGTGAAGTGAAGTTAAAGTTCCACAAGGGGGAGACGAGTGGACGACACAGACAGGTGGACGGGGTTAAAGACCTCAGGTCAACCATCCAGAGACAAGGACGGTGGAGAGACGACGACAAGGAGGAGGAGGAGGAGGAAGAAGAATGTATGAATAAGTTCTACTCCATCACCGTTAAATTCAATGTTTCCTCCTTTTTGCCAGGTTGGATT